TATTTTATTTTTTGTCCTGTGTCGGTGGTGCAGCCCAAGGCTGGGGGATTCTTTGTACTGCCGGGGGGGGGGTCATTCTGTGTGCAGCTCGGGCATATGGCTTACGTTGGTTTCCCAGTTCTGGCTGAGTGTCATGACCACTTTAAGAGCCTTTCTGCTCTGCAGATTTCAGGGTGGAGACTTCTTTCAGACCTGGTGAATCTGCCGCAGCAGGGGTGATTTTGGTGCTCAGGTGGGTTTGGGATCCATTGGATTATTTTATACTTGGATTCTTTTGTTTCTCGTAGTACCATTGGAAGGTACTTTTTTTTTTTTTTTTGGAGATATTTTTGCTATAGGGCGCGTGCGCTCGCCAGACAGACAGAGACAGACAGAGAGACAGAAAGCGAGAAATCACCCCCCAGGTGGGATTGCCACGCTGCAATCCCTTCTCCTCCATTCTCCTCTTGGGATTTTGGGCACGCACACACATGTGCCCGGCATGGGTTTTAAGCCACCGGGTCCAGCACGCGAACCATGATTGACTACGTGGGAGCCCAGCGACATAGCCATTACGCTAACTGCTGGTTCCCACCATTGGAAGGTACTTTTACACATTACAACTGTGGTCATTGTAGTCATTATTTATTTACCAGTATAACTGAGCTACTAGAACTTTCCCATGTTGGTAAATTGAAAGTCTTAGGATTCTGATAGACCAGAGGATTTAAAGCACTAAAAAAGATCAGCCCAACACCTTTTTTTTTTTTTTTTATAGGGATTCGCAGAAGCATTTTTAGAACATCTCTGGAAAAAATTGCAGGATCCAAATAATCCTGCCATCATCAGGCAAGCTGCTGGAAATTATATTGGAAGCTTTTTAGCACGAGCTAAATTTATTCCTCTTATGTAAGTAACCTAATTTCCCAAGTACTTTTTAAATATCATGCTTTAAAAAGATTTTTGCATTGTCTCAAGTCAGAGAAATAATTTGCCTTATTTTTTGGATCTGTCTTTAAAGTGAAAAAAAATCTGTTCTCCCCACTCTGCAAGATGTTTGTATTTCCAAGAGGCAATTTCAGAATAAAGTATCTCCTTTTTAGATATAAAGCTTCATAGACAAGGCTTTTGTCATCTGTTCGTGGTTTCACTTGAATGCAAAGATCCATTTGTCTTCTTGGTTGATGCACAGTGTTACATACTGTTGGATTCTTTTTGTAGGTTTGTCCTTTTTCATTTGCATACCAACTCACTTGTATCTGCTAAAGCTCAAGAAAACCTTTTTAAAGGTAATAGACCTACCTAGGAAGCCAGTTTCTTCCAGGGATCCACGGCAGTATCTTTAGGCAAGGATACTTTTTAAAACACTTCTCCAGCAAGTCCAGCTGCCTGGCTCTTCTAGCCTAAATGTTGACCATAGACTTCATCAGAATTCTGCCATAGACTTCATCAGAATTCTGCAGGAAATGGTGAAGTTGCCCAGTCCATCTTGCTTTTGCGAGGTGTTGGTAAATATGTTCTATTTTTTGGTCACATCACCTATGAGGGCTAGAAACCCCTGAGAGTGCTCGCCCTACTGAGTTAGGAGAAATTGCCCTCCTCCCTCTGGACCCTCTCAAGGACTCACCTCCTGTTCTAGGAGGTTGGCGCTGGTCTGCCGGGTACCTGGAAGGTTGTCTTCCACCCACCCGTGGTTTGCCTGCGGGGAAATACTTAACGACGCCTGTGAGCCCACTGCTGGTGGTTTGTACTGAGAGGCGATTGTGTGTTTCATGTAACTTCTGTTTCTTATGAAGCAAGTAAAGTTGACTTGTGTTTTTCTTTTCTCTAGTACAGTAAAGTCATGCCTAGATCTTTTGGTTAACTGGCTGCACATGTACCTTAATAACCAGGACTCGGGGACAAAGGCTTTTTGTGATGTTGCTCTCCATGGACCATTTTATTCAGCCTGCCAAGCTGTGTTCTACACTTTTGTTTTTAGACACAAACAGCTTTTAAGTGGAAACCTGAAGGAAGGTAGGTCAGCAATGTGCGATTAATGGACTCAGCCTGCTTTTTCCTGGTACTTGTTACCTTTAGAGTGGAGCTCCTTTACTTTTTTGAGGTTTTGATGACAGCTGTGGATTCAGAAAGCTGCACACACTCAAACTTTACAAATAATTACAAGCAGCACAGCCCCCTGAAAGCCCTTTGAGCCTCCTCTCTAACGGGGTGGATTTGAGGTTGAGAACCCCAACGTGCTTCAGCGGGTGTGTGAAGACCTCTTCAGAGGCGAGCTGAGCACTTGGGCTGAACACCACATGCAGTTTCCCATGCCCCCTCCTCTTGTAACAGCTCAGTGCCGGGCAGGCGGAAAGGCACCACTGTACAGTTGTCAGCAGGGTAGGAATTAAAGCCAGATGAGGCTGACGCTAAAGCTTGTGACCATATAAGATGAGGGTCCCCTGTCTGTTTGAAGGCTTGAGAGTTAATGCACTTCATTTCCCATTTTGCTAAGTTTTTCTTTCATTCATTGTTTTGTTTTTATCTGAGAGGGGAAATGGGAGTTAGAGAAGTGTATTTGACGAGTCTCACCACATCAGGGTTGTCCTGCCTTATTTTAGCAGGGCCACAGGTGTAACCTTGCCTTTCTGTTTATGGTGGGTCATTAACCAAACCCAGGCCTTGCATGGCCTCAGGCTCCCCACAGCAGCAGCCTCCTGCTGTGCCACCTGGGCTGGCCCACCCCTGCTCATTTCCGAGGGTTGTCGTTGAAATCTGCGGGTGAACCTTGTTTTATCAGGTTAGGGTATTTGGGAAAGTCATGATTGCATTTTTACATAGAAAAATATGATAGCTGGGGATGGTCCTTAAGCACAGTGTTATTAAGTCAGTTAAGTTGTTTTGTTTCTCCATGGAAAACTCAAGCTGTTTAGATGCTGTTTCTTCTAAACAAGGGCTTCTCCAGACTCAGTACTATTGACAGCTTGGGCTGGATCATTTTTTGGTGTGGGGTGCTGCCCCATTCTTGTCATCCTTCACCTGTACCTCCTGGATGCAAGAGCAACCCCCCACCACTCCCACTCGTGACAACTAAAACCGTCTCTAGACATGTCCTCTGAGGGACCTGGTCTCCTCAGGTTGAGAACCATAGCTCTAAACTAAAACTTTGTTTTTATATTTTTAAAGAATTATTTTACTTAACTTTACTTAATTATTTTATTTATTTTAATTTGATGAGAGAGGGACAGAGAGAGAGAGGGAGAGAAAAAGGAAAAGTGAGAAAACAAGCCGGTCCGGGACTCGAACTGCTGTTGGGCATGTGGGGGTCCACTTCCCTTGACCACCATACCACCTGCTGGCTCCTCTAAATTGAAACTTACTGTGTGTCATTTTATATGTGTTTGCCTGTATTCCTCTTCTGAAAAGATGTGGGGGTTAAAGTTAATTGTATGGAGGCCAGAAGGTGGCATGGTGGTTAGGGTGCTGAATCCCACATGGTCTGCTCTACGTTTCGAGTCCTGGACCTGGTGGCTTGAAAAACATGCTGGGCGTGGGACCAGCAGATAGTGTTATGGTTACATTGCTGGACTTCACATAGTCAACCACAGTTCGAGTCCTGGACCTGACAGCTTAAAATTCACACCAGGCACATGTGCATGTGTGCCCAAAATCTCTGGAAGAGAAGGGATAGCAGCATTCCCATCCCCCCTGGGGAGTGATTTCTCGCCTTCTATCTCTCTAGCAAGCACACATGCCCTAAAATCTCTCTTAAAAAAATAAAAAGAAAAACATGCCAGGCATGTGAGCATGTGTGCCCAAGATCCCAAGAGAACGGAGAAGGGATTGCAGCCTCACCATTCCCCCAGGTGGTGGTTTCAATTTCTCACTTTCCCTTTGTTTCGCTCCAGTGAGCACAAGCGACCAATAGCAAAAATCTAAAAAAAGCCCAACTCTAGGAACTAGTGAAAGAACAAAGTTAATAAAGTCTCTCCTTTGTATGAATAAGTGCCAAGGAACTCTTAAACCATGGCATTATTTTATGTGCATTATTCTTGAAAAAATATACATCAAAGTAACTCTTAAGAAAATTGATTTAAGCACAAGTTGATCTGCTTGCCTCTGAAAATATATGTAGTATCTTTAACTCATGTAGGAGAGGATTATATTTATTGGATCCAAGACAATACTTTTTGTCTAAATTTTCTTCCAGCCCTCAGATTTCTCTTGGAAAAATAAAAGAGAAATACAAACAGCTAGCGTGCACCTGAGAACAGCACAGCCTCACTAATTGAAAATGAGGTTGCAGGCCAGCTGGTGCCGTGCTGGTTAAGGCCGGCTGGAACTCACATAGCCTTTGCAGGGTTTGAGTCTTGGACCCTGTGGCTTAGAAGAATGTTGAGTGCATGTGGACCCAAAAGCGGAAAGGAGAGTGGAGGAGAAGGGATTGCAGTGTGGCCTGCAGGGTGATTTTTCACTGTTCTCTGTCTCACTCTGGCATGCACACAAGCCTAGTAGCAAAACTTAAACAAAAAGGCTGTTCTTTGTTTCTGTTGCCTGAGATGATTGGTAGCTGAAATCAAATCTCATTTTTGTTTTTGCTCTCTATACGTGAGTCCCAAAGAGTCATCTAATCTTATAGCCCCTAGGAATGTGTGCTTACTTCCTGAGTCTTTTAAAGAATAAATTGTTCTCTAGAAAAGCTGGCTTAGTAATAAATGTGGTCAGCCCAGTGATATTTTTCTTAGTAATAAACGAATGTGGTTTGCCCATGATGTGACTGTGTATGTACATGGACTTTTAGTTCAAGTATTTCTGCAAATCACTGACTTTTTTTTTTTTTTGAGAGAATTTTGCTGTAGGGTGCGTGCGCTCACCAGACAGACAGAGAGAGACATAGAGACAGAAAGCAAGAAATCACCCCCCGGGGGGATGGTCACGCCGCAATCCCTTCTCCATTCTCCTCTCGGGATCTTGGGCACGCACGCACACACGCCCGGCGTGAGTTTTAAGCCACCGGGTCTGGGACGCGAACCGCGGTCAACTACATGGGAGTCCAGTGACATAGCCATTACGCTAACTGCTGGTTCCCAATCACTGACTTTTTAAATGTGTGACGATCTGTACTTTTAAAGGTATCTTAGACTTTTCAATTATATTTATAACTTAAAAAGTCTTTTGTGTTTTAATCAAAGGTTTGAGATATCTTCAGAGTCTCAATTTTGAGCGCATAGTGATGAGTCAGCTAAATCCTCTGAAGATTTGCCTGCCCTCAGTGGTCAACTTTTTTGCCGCTATCACAAAGTAAGTTATTTATATTTTCTTTCTCTAAGTTATTTTTCCTTGAGAGAGAGAGAGAGGTACTGCTGAAAGGACCCTCCCCCACACACACTTCCCTGCTAGCTGGGCTCACTGGTGTATGCAGGTGTCAGGTGCGTTTCAGGTCTGCTTGACATGGGATCCAAATCCCAGCCAGCTGCGAAGCTCCAGCATTGCAGAGTTGTTGCCACTGCCTGTGCCACTGTTGACCCTTTCCCTTCTCTGCTCTGCTTTCTTTCTTTCCTTCCCTTTCTTCCCTTTCTCTCTCTCTCTCTCTCTAATGGCCAGAGGGCTCGTATTGTCAACAGAGAGAGAGAGGGTAAAGGGAGAACTCACCCCCCATGGGCATGGTCACGCCACAGTTCCTTCTTGGTTTCTCCGTCCTTTTGGGATTTGGGGCATGCATACACACTCGGTGTGCTTTTCAGGTCACTGTTGCGGGGATTGGAACTGTGGCCAGAATTTCAACCGCCAATGGCCATGTGTGATCTAGCTTCCTTAACCAGTGGGCTGTGGGGCTGGTCCTATTTGCCCTCATTAGATGGAAGTTATTTAAAAGTAACTTTTTGTTAGTATTAGTATTGTAAAATATTATTAAATTTCTGGAAAATTAATAACAACAATAGTAAAACATTTAAAAACCAGTAACCCAGCCCTTACAAAATGAAAAACAAAACCACAATGAAGCTTTTTTAAATATGTATTTCTTTTTCTTTTCTTTTTTTTTTTTTTGTGAAGAGTTTTTTGCTATAGTGCATGTGTACTTGCTGGAGAGATAGAGACAGACAGAAAGTGAGAAATCACCTCTCAGGGGGATGGCCATGTTGCAATTCCTTCTCCAGTCGCCTTTCAGTATTTTGGGCATGCATACACACGCACCTGATATGAGTTTTAAGCTACCAGGTCCAGGACTTGAACCATAGTCGGCCACATGGAAGTCCAGCAACATATTCATTATGCCGTCTGCTGTTTTTTGTTTTTTTTTTTTAAAAATATATTTTAATGTCATTGGAGATTGCTAGTACATTTTATCCAAAAGGGATAATTCAGAAGTTTAAGCACTTTGAATAAGTAAGGCAACTAGTGGGGACCAGCAGATGGCATAATGGTTATGTCACTGAACTTCCTCTTAGTTGACTACGATTTGAGTCCTGGACTTGGTGGCTTGAAACTCAGGCTAGACACCTGTGCATACATGCCTGAAATTCGAGAGGAGAATGGAAGAGAGAGGATCGTGGCATGGCCATTCCCCTGGGGAGTGGTTTCTTGTTTTCTGTCTGTCTGTCTGTCTCTGTCTCTGGCAAGGACACATGCCCTATAGCAAAATTCTCTTTCAAAAAAAAAAAATAAGAGAACTAGTAAGGTTAGAGGTACAAATCAAAGATTCCTAGTAGGGTAACCCCTGTAATAGAAAAAAAATAAAATGCACGTGAGCTGAATGCCTGGTGTTCATGCCTCTGCCTGTGGTGGTTTTGTTGTTTCACAGTAAATACCAACTCGTCTTCTGCTACACCATCATTGAGAGGAACAATCGCCAGATGCTACCAGTTATTAGGAATACAGCTGGAGGGGACTCGGTCCAAACCTGCACGAACCCCCTGGACACCTTCTTTCCCTTTGATCCTTGCGTGCTTAAGAGGTAGGCACTCTTCAACAGTGGACTCTGTCAGTGGTAGATTTCTTTCTTTCTTTTTTTAATGAGAAAGGCGGGTATTTTTTGAGAGGGGCTTGCTGTATTTCATGATCCCCTTCCTCAGCCTTACAGTTAGCTGTGACCACAGGTGTACATTCCCACACCTGGTCTGTTCAGGTTGGACCAGGCACTGGACCAGGGGCGCCCATGCAGCCTTGCCCATGCACCATTTCAGCTGGGCCTTCAGTGATGACTTTGTTATTTTTTTTTTTAAAGAGTTTTTCTGTTTGTATTTTTTGTTTGTTTGTTTAGGGCACATGCACTCGCCAGAGAGATAGAGAGAGATAGACAGAAAGTGAGAAATAACAAGGGGGAATGGCCACACCTCAGTCCCTTCTCCATTCTCTCAGGATTTTGGGCATACACACACACGTGCCCTGTGTGAGTTTTAAGTCGCCAGGTCTTGGACTTGAACCGCAGTCAACTACATGTGAGTCCAGCGATATAATCATTACCTCATCTGCTGGTCCCTCAGTGGTAAATTTAAATGTAATATATTTGCTTTGCCCAAGATCGGGGTTTAAGACTTCTTTGTTTTAAGCAGCCTGTGCTCATTAGTTAGCGCTCTGTGGTGTCCGTTCCTGGCTTTCCCAGCCGAGCAGGGTATGCCCAGGCGGTTCTGCTGTACATCACAGTCCGGGGAGAGCTTTCCCTCAGGAGGAGCCCAGACGGACACTGAGGCTTGTGTTTCTTTAAATCTGTTGGTTTAAATGTGTAAGGAGGTGGGGAGAGAGGTGCCAGGGTGGAGCGTGCTGCCTTTTCTTGGCTCATACCTTCCTGCTAAGCAGCTGCTCCTTCCTTTAGAAACCACATCCCATACTGCTGCACGAGATAAACTGACGCTGCATGGTTCACCTGGGCTAGTCCTGGGAAACCACTGAGCCAGGCTGGGAGCTGCATTTGTGTAGGAAGCAGGCTTTGGCTTAGTCTGTGGTTTTCTGGCTGGCTGAGATTGTCCGTTTCCCTGAGTTTTGGTTGACTGAATCAGGTTAGTTGTTTTTCCTAGACCAGTTTTTTAACATGTTACTATAGAATGTGAAAAAGGGAGTACTGAGTATTATAGTTTCATTTTCATCTGGATATGCTATGTATTAGTTGTCAATCATTGCAAAGTTTAGCAACAATTTCACTTGGAAGTGGAAGGATGAGAAGCAGCGTAATGCTCCACCCATGTGAGCGGGTTCAATCTTAGAAGGAGCCGCTGAGTTACAGTACTCACATGCCATGTTTTTTTGTTTGTTTGTTTTGTTTTGTTTTGTTTTAATAATTTGCTACAGGGTGTGTGTGCTCACTGGAGAGAGAAAAAGTGAGAAGGCACTCCCTTCTCCATTCTCCTCTCAGGATTTTGGACACATAGGCTTACATGCCCAGTGTGTTTCTGAAACTGCCAGGTCCAGGATGTGAACCGTGCAGCCGGCCATGTGAGATCCAGCTGCCTTAACCAGTATGCCACTGGCTGGCCCTGTCATGCTTTTTGATGTTACTATTTGAGCCACAGTTTTAACTTCTTGGTTTGGAGAAGCAGGTCTTAGGAGAAAAGATTGAGGTATGTTTTGACTTTTACCAAAGTATTTACTTTGAAATATCTTTGTTGACAGGTCCAAGAAATTCATTGATCCTGTTTATCAGATATGGGAAGACATGAGTGCCGAAGAGCTCCAGGAGTTTAGGAAACCCACCAAAAAGGTATTCTGGATTCAGCACACTCGCTGAGACCCTCCTCTGTGGCTACTGGTCACAGGAAAAAAGTAACAGCAATGTCACACGTGAAGTCACTGTGTGTTACTCATTCTGCCTTTACACAGACTCAACCCAAGTGGTGGGCTTACTGGAGGAGTTTCGGGTTTTTGAAGTATTTAAACCAGTGAAGGCTGATTGAAAAGTAGCTGTGTGTATTTACCTCTGACAACTTGGTGATCACCACCAAGTAGTAAACTCAGACTGCCTCCTGTCGCGTAGCCCAGAAGTTCACGTTATAGCCAGGTTTTTGATTTCCGGGAAGGGTGCTAAAGAGGCTCACTTGTAGCGGGCCCTTCCCTCCACCCTCAGTGGAGCTAGTACAGGTGCTGCCGGAGGAGAAACTTAGGACCCAGCGCCAGCTCCACGGCGCAGCAGGGCAAGAGAAGCTGGACTCTATGTAGTGACTGTGGTTTGAACCTGTGGCCCAGTCAGCCTGAAACACACTGGGCATATGTGCTAGTGTCTGAGATCTGACCAGCCGGAGGGCTAGAGGGGAGATTGTGGCATAACCAGATCCTGCCGTGGGTGACCTCTGCCCCTTTCATGCACACATTTTATTATGAATAAAGAAAAAACAAAAGAAGGAAAATCTTGTAAAAAGGAAATTAGAATCCAGTAAATAATGTCACTGTTCTGACTTTTTTCCTTTTCTTTTTTAAGGTTTTTGCCATAGAGTGCATGCACTTGCTGGAGAGAAACAATGAGAGTGAAAGTGAGAAGTCACCTCCTGTGGGGATGGCCACACTGCAATCCCATCTCCTCCATTCTCCTCTTGGAATTTTGGGAGTACATGCACACATGCCTGGTGTGAGTTTCAAGCCACCAGGTCTGGGACTTAAAGTGTGGTTGGCCACATGGGAGTTCACCTGCTGGTCCCTGTTCTGACTCTTTGTAGCACATTTTTTTCCATGTTAAAAATCAGCTTTAATGTGCTTGTCTCCCTTTTTATAAGTAATCATTGAAAAACTTTTATTTTTTTAACACGTACTTCTTTTTCCCCCTTTATTCATATAGAGAGAGCAGGGTGGCTCACCACGATCCCTTCCTCCTGTCTGTCAGATTCTAGGTGCTTGCATGGATCCCCAGAGTGTCTCAGGCTGGAGAGGTGAACCAAGGATGCCCTGCAGGACTTGGCCTTTCTTTGAACAGCATATTACTGCTCCATGTTACTCCATAAAGTGGCCTTTTTTTTTTTTTTTTAATAATGCATTTAGGCAGGGGAGTCATTCATTCATTCATTCATTCATTCATTCATTCACGTCTGTTTGATAAGAATGATACGTTGTATTACTGTGCTTGTTGAGCTTAAGTCTGTGTGAAAATTGAACTTCAGGCCCAGCCCTGTGACCTGTTTGTTGTATTTAGTTTATTTATCTTTAATAGTTGTACACATTTATTGTTTCTTTTTAAATTTTTCTATTTTTAGGGTTTTGTCATAGAACAGGTACACTTGCTGGAGAGAGAGAGAGAGAGGGAGAGTGAGAAATCATCCAATGGGGGGAGAGAGAGGGAGAGAGGGAGAGTGAGAAATCACCCACTGGGGGGATGGACATGCACACACAGATGTCCAACATGATTTTCTTTTTTTAAAAAAAGTTTTTTATTGGGACCAGCAGAGGGTATAATTGTTACATTGCTGGAGTCCCATGTAGTCAACCACAGTTCGAGTCCTGGCCCGGGTCACTTTGAACTCATGCCAGGGGCATGTGCATGCATTCCCATGATCCCAAGAGGAGAATGAAGGAGGAGGGATTGTGGTGTGGCCATCTCCCCTGCGGGATGATTTCTCGCTTTCTGTTTCGCTGTCTCTCTGGCAAGCACACACGCCCTGTAGCAAAAATCTCTCTCTCTAAAAAAAAAGAATTATTTATTTTATTTGTTGTTATTATTTTTCTTTATTTCAACCAGAGAGAGACAAAGAAAAAGCGAAAATGTGAAAGCAAGCCACCAGGTCCAGGACTCTTAACTGACCGTGGTTGGCCATCTGAGATTTGAACTATGGTGGGCCATATGGGAGTCCAGTGCCTTAACCACCATACCATCTGCTGGCCCCCAGTGTGGGTTTCGTTGTTTTTTTTTTTAATACATGAACTCATGTAATGGTCAAATGTGTATAATGATCAAATCAAAGCAATAAATACACCCATCATCTCAGACGTATATCAGTACTCTGTAAACATTTGATGTTTTTTAGTCTCAAAAAGAATTCTGAAATTTTGGAAGTCATCACTCGTGACCTAATTGATGATCTCTGCTCTGTACACAGGAGATGGTGGAGGATGAAGATGATGATTTTTTGAAAGGTGAAGTGCCCCAGAACGATACCGTGATTATTGGAATCACACCAAGCTCCTTTGATGCGAATTTCCGAAGTCCTTCCAGCAGTGTGGGCTCCCCGCCTGTGCTGTATGTGCCAGACCAGTGCCCTCTGATCTCGAGGATTTGCGATTGAGTCACAGCGTGGTTCCCGTCATGTCTTTCAGTACCTGGTTCAGACAATGTGGACTTTGCCTTGACCTAGAACGAGGACATGCCTCAGCCGTCGTACTTCCGGCCTGGGTGTGATCCAGTGTCTGAACAGACTTGCCTTTTTCCCTTTTTGCTCTTACAGACAAAAGGAAAAGGCTGACTGTCGTGCAATATTTTACAGAGATACTGATGATAAATGGTGAGGATTTTGCTTATTAGTTTAATGTATACTTTTTTCATGTTTCAACTTTTTTGACATAATTATGATATGATTTCTAATACTGTCAAACTGCTTTGACAGATTGCTTCTTAACCTAGGTTTTTGTCAGAGCCACAGTCACAAGGACCTTATTGATCCGATTTCACTGGCAATTCTCTAGGATAAACCCTTCATTTTAAGACTGACTAGAATGTCTTCAGGTTTGCGTTGGGTCCTCAGACAGGTGCAGAGAAGATGGAAGGCAGGCAGGAGCTGGCCGGGGCTGGTCTGCGAGGCTGAGAGTTGGAGTTGGCACTGCAGGAGATCTCTAGGACTCTGAGACCAAGAGGGAAGAGAGAATTTAGGGAAATTCTTTCTAGGCAGATGATCTACTTGTGCAGTATAAAAGTGGATTTCTGAGGAAAACGGAGGTCTAGATAAAGGTAACATTGACTGGAAGGGGCCTTGGACTTTTATCAAATACAGGACACCGATTTTTTGTTTTTAGTTATTGCTATAGGGTGTGTACACTCACTAGAGGGAGACAGAAGGGTGGGGGAAAAGTGAGAAATCACCCCTCCCCAGAAGGGGACATGGTCCACTGTAATCCCTTCTCTGCTACTTTGCTCTCAAGATTTGGGGCACACACACACATGCACACGCACATGACACGATTCTCAAGCCACTAGGTCTTGTAACTTGAATTGTGAAACTGGTCACGTGGGATCCAGCACCTTAATCTTCAGGCCACCTGGCCCCTTGACACTGTATTTTACCCTTCAACTCACAAGCATCCTGTTAGAACTGGAATGGCTCATTCATAGCAGTTACATTGAGTTACTAGGTTGTCAGAAAGTCATGACATATTTTTCTGTTTTTCTATGAAAAAACATGTATCGTGACTTTCAACAATCCATTTTTTTTGACCAGCATCAGTTGGTCATTTGGGGAATTTGTCCAAATGGGAAAAGATATTCAGATTACTGGGTGCCCGGGGTTTGTGAGCAAGAGCTGACTGAAGTTAGTATTGCAGTGCCCCGGAGCGGCTGGGCAACGCATCATGGATTTGCTGGGGAACTCTGTGTAGCAAGCCTCTTTTTGGTGTTTTTGTAACTACACACTGAGAGGCGAGTCGGAGACAGGCTCGCCCTAGAGCGACTTTGTAAGCACCGCTAGTCTTTTTTTCTTTTTTTGGAGAGATTTTCACTGTAGGGCGCGTGCGCTCGCCAGACAGACAGAGAGAGACATAGAGACAGAAAGCGAGAAATCACCCCCCAGGGGAGATGGTCACGCCGCAATCCCTTCTCCTCCATTCTCCTCTCGGGATCTTGGGCACGCACGCACACGCGCTCGGCGTGAGTTTTAAGCCACCGGGTCCAGGACACGAACCGCGGTCGACTACGTGGGAGTCCAGCGACATAGCCATTACGCTAACTGCTGGTTCCCTCCGCTAGTCATTTTGAAGCTCAAGCATATGTTCACTTTGTCCCTTCTGTATGTACTCTTCCATTTTTGTGAAAATGACCATCTTTAAGTGTATTTATTTTTTGCCCACTTTTCCTATTCTTTATTTAAAGGCAAGCAATATTTTCTTGATCATAAATATTTTGTAATGAAATACTTGTCTTTCCTAAGGCCTTGTATGCTCCTGTATAGTTACACTAGTGGCAATGCAGAGTTTGAATTTCAGGTTGTAAATACCTTTTTGGAAAATAGAAATTTTTATTGCTTTAAAACGTTTTGGATAATGATGATTTTCTTTTTGTGACTTCGTAGAAAGTCATTTGAGAATCTTAAGGTTCTTTTTTAACTGCTGACAAAGTGGGGTTTTTGCATACTGAATAAAATGAGTAAATGAAAATGTATTCACTAAAGTTAATGGTAATTGGGATCTGGACTGGGAAGTGGTTTTAATGTGAAGGATGTATTTATAAGTGTTTAATTTCAAAGGAGTTTGAGAGACAGAACCCACTGTAAAAATAAAGCAAAGACACGGTTTATCTGGAACTTTGATTCTTATGCCCATGAAGGGAGGTACTCTAATAAAGACTGCTGACATAAATGTCCTTTTGGTTTCTGTGTGGTTTTGTGTTTGTTTTTTCCTTCAGTGACTTAAAGCATCATTTGGCTGTGGCAAATTGCTCCTGAGCCCTCACTGTTACCGAGGGGAAAGTACTGCCAGAGCGACCGGGAGAGTTTAGAAGTGCATCTCATGTGCTGGTGACAGTGGCTTCAGTGTGTGGTGACTGCGTGATCACACCCAGCCGAGAGTGACAAGCTAACTTCTCTGAGCTCCACCTTTTATGGAGGTCCTATGAGTTGTATTTGATGCATGTAAAAAGTTCATTAAAAATAAGTATTGTTTTGCTGCCTTGTGAGAGAGTCAAGTCTAGTTAAGCAGAAAGCATTTTTATGGAAAGGTCTTTTCAAGCCAAAGGAAACTTCCGTTTTCTGCATGTTACCTCCTTGGTACCAGTTCAAGAGATCTGAAAAGAGGGGTCGAGAGTCTCCACTGCCAAGTATTGTTTATAATAGCGGTTCTGAACTCCTAGGGTTACGTCCTAGGAACTTTGAAAAACAAAGGCTGCTCAGGACCAGCAGTTAGTGTAATGGCTATGTTGCTGGACTCCCATGTAGTCAACCACTGTTTGAGTCCCAAACCCGGTGGCTTAAATTCACGCCGGGCGCATGTGCGTGTGTGCCCAAGATCCCGAGAGGAGAATGGAGGAAAAGGGATTGCGGTATGGCCAGTCCCCCCACCCCGGGGGAGGTGATTTCTAGCTTTCTGTCTCTCTGTCTGTCTCTGTCTGGCAAGCGCACGCACCCTATAGCAAAAGCCTCTCAAAACAAACAAACGAACAAAAAAGCAAATGCTTGGGTCCATCATACCTCAATTTTGCCAGGATGTTAATTTTCTCTTTTGAGATTTTTGTCATAGGGAGTATGCTTGCTAGAGAGACAAACAGAGAAAGAGAGAAAGTGAGAAATCATCCCCACACCCCTCACCCCTGCCCCATCCTTCCCAGGGGATGGCCACACTGCAATCTCTTCTCCGCTCTTCTCTCAGGATTTTGGACATGCACCAGCATGGTTTCTCAAGTTGCTGGATCCAGGACTCGAACTACCTAGTCACTTATGTAGGATCCAGTACCTTAACCGTCATGTAAACTGTCGGCCCTACCTTTCTTTTTTTTCTTTTTTCTTTTTTTGAGAAAGTTTTGCTATAGGGCACGTGTGCTCACCAGAGAGACAAGAGACAGAGAAGCAGAAAGTGATAACCCCCCCCCCCCAAGCGGGGATGACCACACTGTGATTCCTTCTCCATTCTCCTGTTGAGATTTTGGGCACACACAAAGTCTTGCCTGACTTGAGTTTTACGTCTCCAGCTCTGGGACTTGAACTGTGGTCAACCACATGAAAGTCCAGCAACATAACCACTATGCCATCTGTTGGCCACTCTTTCTTTTTTAATTTTTAGCCACTTGAGCCTCCCCAGCTCTACAATGCTTTTTCATAAAATGCTTAACTTTTGTATATTTTGATCTGTGACCATGCAGTTTATAGTTGAGTTTATAATATATATATAGTTGATTCTTTTATTAAATATTAAGTTTCTAGATAATGTATTTTTATTTAATTAGTTAATGTGCTCACTGGAGAAAGGAAAAGTGTGAAATCATCCCCTGGGGGTGATGCATAATCCCTCAGCAATCCCTTCTTGAGTGTTTTTCAAGTCACTGGGTCTGGGACCTGAACCTCAGAGTCCTGCAATGTGGGATTCTGCTGTCTTAACCACCATTACCTGCTGCCCTTAATGTTTATATTTTAATGGTTGTGATACATGGTTACTGAATTGGGATAAACCATTATTTAAAAACTGACCCTGAGGGAGCCAGCAGGTGGCATAGAGGTTAAGTGACTGGGTCCCACATGGCCAACTGCGGGTTATAGTCTCCGATTCTGTGGCTTGAAAAACACCCCTCAGCGCGTGTGCATGCGTGCCTGAGTACCTAGCCCATCTACGAGTGCTACTGGGTTCCAAGTGCAAGGTGTTTCTGACGATTTCTGCATGTGGAAGGCTGGCAGCTAGGGGTCTATTTTCCCGTTTTAGGATGGTTTACGTTTATTGCTCATTGAATACAGTCCTAGGAAGCAGGGTCCCAAACTTCAGTGTGCGCAAGGTCCCGAGTCTGAGAAGTAGAGGAGCAGCGACCTGGAGCGAATCAGGAAGATCCCGGAGCCCGCCCTCAGTCCAGGCTGGCTCATCGGTGAGGACCGGGAGAGCCAACGCTCTGGCCGGGCGCTGGACGCCTCCCAGGCTGGTAGCTCGGCTTCCCGCTTCCATCGCGTCCACGCTTCTGGAACTACATTTCCCAGCACCCCTTGCTGAA